AATCGAAAAAACGATAACGATTTGGTTTTCCTTCGGGCAGTATGCACTGATCACTGTGTGTTTGTTTCTAGCGATTGAAGCGACATCGGCGGAAATTGTCATTAACTAACGTAACACAATAACGTGCATAATAAAATTGATAAAAATAAGCCTTAAAATACTTCGCTTTCTGCGAGGCGACCGTAAAAGCGTTGAATCAACTCCTGTCCGGAACAAAAGCGTTCGCCCTGAGACCAAACCCGCGTGTGTTAATTTCTTTCTTCGTATTCTGCCGTAATTGAATCCGCAGATCATCATCAGCCAAAGCGCTTATTCTATACAAGTTAGTTAAAGAAACTGTAAGAAGGACTCAAAAATCTGCATTATCATTAAGAATTTACAGCAGTTTTCTTAACAAGCTTCGCTTAAAAGCTCATTCGATGATTCTTTTGTTTGTGTTTTTTTTTAGCGGACTTAAAGGCAAAATGTGTGGTAGGAACTATTCTCGAAACCCCTTTTACTTTGGGAGCAGTTTTTTTCTATTTGGGACGCTAGCAGAGGAAGACACTTCCTTACGTGCCTAGAGATGCTCTGCCGCCATGGTCGATGTCACAAAAAATGTCGTTAGTTTATAGGATCAGTCGATTTAAGAAAAAAAAAAAAGACGATTCGGAGGCTTGTGGGGCTAACAGTCCAAAAGCAACGAATGAATTGTTTCATCTGTGCCTAATGGTGGGTGTTATTAGAAAGGAAGTGATCATACTGTTTTATCATATACGCTGATACTGGAGTGCTGGAAGACCTAAACTGAGAAGAAAAACAATTGATAAGATCACGTATTTAGAAGTATGCGCGTACGTATGATGTGTTTATGTGCGTATGTATAACTAACAGCTTATAACAGTATAGTTAAAAACTATTTCAGTGTGATAGTTTCCGAGTGGAACACGATTCTGCATTATACGCATTGATGAAAAAAGGATAAGTAACTGTCACTTATTTGGTACTGAGAAAAAGGCGGAGTGATTCGTTGCACTGAATTAATTATTCATTACACAAGTAGCTTAAAATCTATTTGTTATCTCTTTCGTTTATACAATAAATGCTCTCGGTAGATCTTACATTGATTACTTATCTAAACGTGATTAGGTGCCCATGTTAAATCAGACGAAACTAATTCCATTATCTGTGACCTCCATTTTGCTGCGCTCATGTGGTTTGTTGTATTAGATATTCGACCTTCGCAGAAAATTCTCCTTTATCTACTGTTGTACCAATGAGATCGTCAAATATAATGCATTATTTTTACATAAAATTGTCGTAAATTACCTGATATCGGCCAGCCACTTTTAGCTTACACTATAGGTGTCAACTGCACTCCGCCCTATGGAAAAGTTCCAAAGTTTTTTTCAGCAACTCTGTTTCTCTTTACCTTATAGGTTTTTCCAAAAAGCTGAACGTACATCGCAAAGGGTTCGATGTGAAATTTCTCGAAGTGGGGGACGATGTGTATTTGTACCGAATATGGTGCAATACGCCCCGTACATAGCACGGTCGTTGGCTAGCGTCTCCAGTCGAACGCGTTGATCCTAAAATTTTAAATTGAGCTGGTCTCGTTGATGTACGTCCCTGCGAGTCTCCTTATTTATTCTGTATTGACCAATTTAAAATTGAAGCAATTTGCTACGCGTAGTTGGGCTCACTAGTCGTGATGACTGATGACAGGACGCTCTCAACAGGGTGTGATAAGGGGAATAAACGTTGGACCTAGTAAAATCACGTTATGACTTAAAAGAGATCAACGTACGCAATAACCACCTTCGCAGTGACAATAGCCGGTGGGCTTGAAAAGATAACGATGATTGATATTGTCTTCTAAGGTAAACAAAGATGACAGAGCGACAAATAGACAAAATTATAACGAAACTGTAAAGCAATGAAAACAATTGTTCAAATTAACGCGGGGATTTCTTCCTCTTCTGTCCAGCCTTCATGTTCTTTATATATACGTATCCCGCCGAAACAAATACGGTTTATTCGATCTTCATTTTGAAAAGTGTTCCACATGAAAAAAACAGACTATATGTGAGACAGAGACAAAATTATGGCTTCAAGATAGTTTATTTATTGGGGCTGTGTTCGACCAACGATTAGATTTTCGCTCGAGTCTATCTCAATATATAGAAATTCGATTGAATAGGTATTTAAAAGAACTTTGTAACTATTCGTATTGCATTATGTAATATATATTTATATACATACATATGTATATATGTGGTAATGGTGCAATGGTAACATATGTGTTTACTAAGCTAGGGGTACGTAAAGAGGTTCAAAACAAGGCGTTGACGCGCACCCCTATTATGCTTGCAGCCAGCCATCTAAAATCATGCTTAGCGAAGGCATCAAACGTAAAGCTCAAATTAATCGTTTAGGTTAGAGTATGTCATTTTTTTTCATCAAAAAACAAGTGGAGGATGTAGCATTAGGTTAATAGGCATAGACTCGAGGACCTGACGAACTAAAGGAGGATAGCCTCAGAATTATCCTTTTTCGCATCATACTTCTTGCAGTCCTGTAGCGTGCTCAATAGCAGTACGGTCTTTTTCCAGTTCTTTAAAAATCACTAAAGTGGCCTCAAAGCCCGTACATTAATCATGTGACCGTTTAGCTTTTGACCGAAGCGAGCTCACCGCTGCGTAGGTTAAAAATAAAATATCTCAGGTGATAGTGTCTGATAAACCAGACCCTTCACTCAATAAGCCAGCTTCTGTATTCCAAGCGTTGACAATTTTGAATTGTCTCACAGTCTGGCGGCTTTAGTTTGATTTACGAGAGTAGCACGAAGCATCTCTGAGGGTACATGACGTACCGCTGAGATAATTTTACTGCTTGAATATGAGGGTAGATGCTAAAGTGAGCTTGGTTATGGAGCTATAATGGCCAACGTATCTTAATCTTAATAAAAAATAAAAAAAAACAATACCTACCTAGTGTGTGTCATTTCTGTTCGTATGTTTAGCAAAAAAAAAAATCTAAAGAAAGCGCGATAAAAAAATAAGCGACGTAACTACGTTTTCAAACGTCGTCTTCAGCGAAAAAAAAAAAAAAAAAAAGGTTCAGATCTCCTTCGTTTATGGTTCGTTTTGTATTTGTCTTGCGTGTTTTTCATACAATAATCCTTTTTATATTCCAAAGTAACATAAAGTTAGTTCTCTTTCTTTAAAGCCTCCATCAGATCGGTTCCCATACAGTTTCGCGAATAAGTACTTGAAATTTCAAATACGATTACAAACGCGTACGATACGTACGTATACGTTGTTATTTACCGTGAAGGACTTTTTTCTCGGATTTCGACGCTAGTGCAACACTGGTATTATTGTCAGTAGCTATGATGTAATGATGACCTATTTGCTGATTCATGAGGTGAGTAAAGTTTAAAGCAGAATGAAGACACGCTTCGTCTCGTGCTAAAGACACACGTTTTAAAACAATATTTAAAGGCAATGGCGACGTCGATAAAAGCCTTCTACATATGAATGTAATACATTAAACTCATATGTGCTTAGGGGTAAATAGTAGTTACCCTGATGCTCTAAGCTCTATCAACGTAAACGTTCATCGCGGCACAATACGATATACGATTTCTGAGTGTTGAGTCCACCTACTGACCAGCTAGGCATGTAGTTTGGGCATTTTATGGCGTAAAACATAGAAATTAGCCTTTTTTTTCCAAAAAAAAAAAGACTTGCGGAGATTAAATCATGCAGGCGCAAGACAATAAGTCTAGCGACGCTTTGGTCGTGTTACTTTGAGCAGTTGCTTTCCTGTACAGTTTGTAAGTGTTTCCATTAAACACGGTTGTCCTTCTGAAACTTTTGCGCGCAAGTAATTTGTAAGGCCCTGTGCTTTTGGCCATCAAAAGTTGCAATGTTTTTAATAAATTTAGCTAAATAAAAAAAATCGAGTAAATTTATTATGCTACTATATTTACTAAGTTATATTGATTATCTCCTGCAAAATGGATGACACGCAATTGCTGTTTCGTCACAGGAAAATATTGCCCCGTTCAAATCTCAGTTAGAACCATAGCCCCGAGGATAACTGAGCCCATTTAAGTTTAGAATATAGACAAACTGAACTTAGCGGGCGGTGGTTTAACATGTTGCTATCTGCCTGTCTTGCGACCATCTTAAAAAAGATAAACTAGAAAGAGCGCGACCAAGCTAGCGTCGACAACTGTGAACGGGTTACATGCTGTTTTAAAGCTAGACAATAGTAGATGCTCTGAGTTGCCAATTGAAATATGTAATAAAAGGTTCGTTGGAATATACACTATTGTCTAAATTAGAATGTTTAAGACGATACCAACTGATAGATATCGCGCACAGGATCCTTCTGCTCAAAATCTCCCCTAAGAAGCCTCATAATTTCTAGTGTTGTCTTTCAGATATCAAACGTGCGCAATATCTCTTCATGCGTACAATTTAATGTTGCCGTTATCGGTGTCCATATTCTGCTAATCAGACAGGTCTTCCCCAACCATAGCACGAGTGTGCTATAATCTCAAAGAACAGACCCAACATCTCGAACTACTTAAAGTTGCAAATCGTCTGCCTTCCCTTTATGCATATCTATGGAAAAGAAATACTGGGTTATAGGAGGAAGTTATTTCATTGCTTAACCTGCACGAAATAAACGCTTGTTGCAATAGAAATAAACGAGACGACCCACTAAGCAAGCACGCTACACCCGTATAACGATTTGATCTGCGTGCACACTATCCAACGGTCCCAAACATTGCATCCACTCGGTAAGAGAGGCCTATTCTTAACCCCTTCCCCTTAAAATGATGACCACTATGAAAAGGCAAAATAGGCACGTAAGCTACGTCAAATAGAACCCGTTCGTTTTTTTCTGTACTACTTGTTTTCGGTGTATAGCAAAACATTGTCTTACTTAAAACATAGATGTCTGAATAATCTTACTAAATGTTGCTATTCTACGCTGCGTTCTTGCAGGGTGTATTGGTAGCCTTGTTATATTGTTTCTTTAACACTGAAGTGAATGAGGCTATTCGATTTGTATTGCGTCGAAATCCACATTTCTTCTATATGCGCAAGTTGCTGAACACCAAACGCAACGTGGAAGCAGGCCAAGATGGCTCCGTACGATCTAGAGCTATGCGGCGGTCAAGGTGAGTCAGATCTATTGCTATAGGTAACCTGGATGATTTACTGAGCTGACACCCGGACCTTGACAGGGATTTCGAGTTAATGAAGCCACTTTGTTTGATGCATTACTGCAATTCTATTGGACATCTATTACCGTCTGGTTAAACAAAATAAACTGGAGAAGGTTTTCTTTAACACTTGCGACGACGTAAATGACATGGATACAGAAAAGGTCTTTTATGTTTACTTCTATCTAGGGTTGGAACCTAAACCATAACGTCATTAACAGGCTAAGATCGTCAATCCTTGGTGATCTAATTCACGCCTATTGTGGACTCTAATTCGTCTAGTTGAAACCATATTGCTTGTCTAAAAGTTTTTATCAACTTTTCCCCATGTTGTTCCACTATCTAAGGCCGCGCATTCGATAATCCTGACGAAATGTAAGCTTAAGTCCTGTGACTCTCGTTCGTTGTTCCGATACGCTAGGTCTTGACTACAAGGATTCGAGTCGCTCCCACTGATGTTGTCGTCGACTTCTATTGCACACACACCCGCTGACGAAATTGAGGTCTTGATCGAGCTCGACACCTCATTATACTGCCCTCCAATTCTCTGAGCATTATCAGTCAATATCAAATTTCTGGACAAACCGGTTGACCTCTTTATCATCTCCTATAGTTAGACGGCTGGCTAAACTGGACACAACGACGAATTTTACACCTGACAATTTTCAAAAGAATTTTGTCATTTTCTCGCTGAATCTCCAGGCCTCATTTTCATCAGATCTTATAGCGTTGTCCCAGACACTTTTCATCAATGTGTTTTCACCTGTATCTGAAAAAAGGTCAGAAAACAAATGCAGACAACTACCGCCCGGTTTCTCAGCCCTCCACTGTCTGCTTTCTTTTCAAGGAACATGTCCCTTATTCCATGCCTCACAGTTTCGTTGTTCAACGACCTAGCTGTGTGTAATTCTCAGACGTCACCCAGAATCGGCCCATGCAAGTAAAGGCTATACTACTGCAACAATTTTGATAAAAAGAATGATACGGTCCTACTTGAGAAAGTGACAAACCTGGGTATCCATCCGATTCACCCGATGAGGCCGTGCTTCGTGGAGGCTGGAGATGTTTGGCTTGTTTTTCACTACGTGCTTTCTGACGTCCTTTAGGAAGGTCGAATTGTTTTTTGTCATATGCGATTTTGTACTTAGTATAGCTAAATATATTCCATCTCAAATTATTTAGTGCATACGAATTACTTGATTAGTACTTGTCCTTTCAATCTCACGATACTTAGAACAGTGCAATTGATGGCCTATGGAAAATTGTATGCGGTTTTGTTAAGCGTTAAGAAGATCTCAACCATAGAATTGATATGGTTATGTACTGAGCGTATCTATAGCTCGAAACATTCGACCATATAGGACATCGATAAACGGATATCCTAACTAATTTCGAAAAAAATATAGATATCTTTATATTCGCAAGTCTTAGCTGTTCACCAAGCACAAGATCAAGATTATTAGACTTCAACGATTGTTTTTACCCTTCAAACGGAAACGATCATCAGAGTGTCGCTGGCGATGGCTCTATATCCCATTCTTATAGCGTTCAGTCTGCCAACGCTCGCTAAAGCCTTAGAGCACCCGTATCTAACGGCAACGTGATACAACACAAAAAGGAATTCCTATTTACTTCACAAATTATAGTGTTCACTACAAAGCAAGGCCGACTGGATCGAACAAAAAAAAATGTAGCCAGTTTAATATGGAAAAAAAAAAAGCTTTTTATTACAACCTACTATTACTATTGATAAATCCATAGGCTACTAGGGCATTGCTTTAGTACGAATAGCATATCCTAGGATTTTTAACGAAACATAATTGTTTGCACACTTCCACAAATCATGTTCAAGACGCATTGACGTTTTGATAAGTGAAGTTTTATAATCATATCTTTCTCGTCCTGTTCTATCGAACTAGAAGTAAAAGTAAGTTATAATATAGGCAAGGGCAATACGTCAGCTGTATGCTATTTTCGATATAACCATGTACAAAAATGCACACTGCAGAAATTTGGATGCAGATTCAAGTGGGTTTGTTCGCATTGTACGGTATGTTCTAGAAAGCTGAAGCCGTAAATCTCACTTTTTATTTGTAAAAAACTTTTCACAAAAAACTTCTTATTTGTACTTAATCCAAATAATGCCGATAGTATTATCTACGCTCTCCATATTATCACACATATGAAATAAATTAATATTTATTAAAATGGCATTAAATATATACAAACGAAAGGGGACCGTAGTTGCCTAAGTCCTCTTAGTTTTTAATAGGTTATTTTAAAAATTTCAGAGAAAATACTTTTCATTGAAGTGTGTATTTTTTGTCCTGGAAGGGTTTCACGCAGCCGTAGCCAAGATTCAGTGATAAGAAGCACTTCAAGGTAGTTCTTATACTACCACGCCGCTATACACTCAGGCTATGTAGCGTCTATGTAAAGGTCGGTCTATTTGGGTATGTACCAGAACAACCATCTAGCATAATACTCCAGGAGAATATTCTCCTAACGTTTCAGGTCTATGGAGAACAGCTGCGAGAGATCAGATCTCTTCGTGCATGATCATTCATCGAATCCGTTTGCACGAAAACTTTCAACGACTTCATACACTGATGCTGTACTTGCCCATCCAGTTGTTGCACACCCAGGGCCTCTACCGCATCTCCAAAGCATTGTTCATGGAGTGCACGTCCACGGCCTCCATGTCCATGCACAACCGGCTGGCAATAATCGTCTCCAAGTGATGCCGGAATTGCACATACTTACGGCTGAAGTCTCCACGTCGATGTCCAGATCGGGTTCGCCCCGCGAGCAAGCCAGCGACCCGAGGTCTATGCCGGTCTGAAAAAAACACACCAATTTAACCTTATTCTTAAGTGTACACTGTAGATGCATAGCTATTCACAGGTGTTGTGCATACTGCTTTCGTGAAGCTTATATGGAACGATAACGCTCAGATGCTCGTATCTATGGACAGTAGTCTGATAAAAAGAAACGAAGTGTCTATATGAAGACTCGCCTGAAATAATCAGTGAAGAACTTTCAAATGTGACTGTATGCCAACTGCGCAGGGATCTCGTCTACTGTTAGGGCACATATGCAGTCAAGCAGCAAATAGGCTTTACCTTATTTCAATAAGTATCCCTCCAAGTCAGCCATTATTAGCCTTTGACGTAAATTATTATGACCTTCGAATTTGCTTCATCACGTGTATGAACACCAGATGAAAAGTATAACTGAAGTCACTTATAGCAGCAACGAGAAACGAAGCCGTTCTCGCTGAAACTTAAGAATGAATGTACTATACGCATTCGTTGGCAGTATGAGGATTGTAGTATTTTTTCAATCAATTCGAACGACTACTACCGCAGTGAGATTGAAGGGTACTGATGAGGAGGCACTGCTACAAGGACTAGGCTTTGGTTCGCAACTGAAGTTAAGCAGATTTCTGAATCGTTTCAGCCATCGAAAATGGCTATAGTACTTAGGGAGAAGTTAGCCAGAGTCGGTAAGTTCATGCTTCAAGTAGAAAAAATTGAGTCATAGGAAGTGTTTACCGTGCTTTAGTGCAAGTATGGCGAAATCAGGCGACAAGAGAGGTCAGAATTCTAAGAGTATCGTCTTGCCTACCAATTAGGTGTCTAAATTGCTATCTATTGAAAACCGTCCGACCAGCGGCCCTTGACAACACCTTCTGTGAATGCTCGGTGCGAATATTTCGCTACCGTTTTTGAAAAGACGATTGACTACACTTTTTTTTCTAAAGCAATTAGAGTTATGGAGAGTTTTATTGTTTAACTTTGCACACTTCGAGCATTTTGTGCTTCTATACAGCTCAAGTTGATGAAACGATGCGTGCGCAAAAAAATAACAAGTTGTATATTGATCTGAAATTGCCTGCGGATGGTAACTACGATGGGAATAAGAACTACAATAGAAATAACAGCAGTGATCGCTCTCATGATCGTTTGGCGATCGGTGGCCAAGGTTCCATAATGTAAATGCTAATTATACATAGCCTTTGTAGAACGTGTCGATGTTATATATCAGCAAGAGGACCGTTTGTAGGTTTCCGTGCGACAAAAGGCAGTCGTAGTCTGTGGCAAGCAGTTGGCCGTCGCAGAACTGAAACAGTTTGGCATTAGTCGAAAACCTCTCAAGCTTCAGGTTTGGATAAAGTCCTGCAACATAATTTTGCGATATTTCTACGTTACGATGCTACTAAATCAATTACTAAGTCAAATGTAACAACACTTATCCCTGCCCTTATACCATTTTTCAATTGCGCCTATATAGCAGTCATCAAAGTAATATCAATGAAAGACAGAAATATGGAAAGCTCACCCACTAAAAGTGTACTAGATATTTTTCATTTCGTTTTCTATTTTCTTTTCAAAAACGTGTAGCCACTGAACCTGTTTAGATAACAGGGTTGAGTCGCTGTATAATCTCATTTGGAACCCCATTTGAGGGTTTGCCGAACAGAGTAAAGCTTCATGCGTCTGGTAAAAAAATGTCTGTGCTAGACTCCTGCACAGTGACACGCATGCATGATAGTTTACACCATACAAATTACTTGGTTTATCTTCGAATGAGAGACAACTGTCAATTGAAGTATTATAGACGATAGAGATTGAGTTCTTCATAATCTGCATTATGAGAACCTCCTTGATAATTTGAAATTTGCATAGAAAAATTACTGACATCATCTGAATTATGACTCGAACACTTCTATAATGGTTACATAGCTGAGTCGTACTGTCCATTCAGCGATTCAATTGATATATTCTAGTTTATGATGTGAGACAATAGCCGTTCGTAGATCGTCGCGTTGTGATACCCAAATGGGTGAAGTCGGTGCTCCATCAGCTGACCTTGCCTGAATATCGGCGTGCGGCCATCCCAACTGAATTAATCTTCTCGTTCAAGCATCTGACTAGGGTTCCGCGTAGGATGTTCTATACTAAGAAATCTGTTGCTTATGCCAAAGTACTGAACGAAGAACTCGGAAGCCGTTATTTCGTTGTAAACATTCATTCAGATCGACTTTCATGCAGTGCGGACTTGTCGAATGTCTATCTGAAACTAAACATTTTATCCTCGACGGTATTAGGCATGATAAATGCGGAGATAAATGAAACTATAGTTGAAGTAAACGGGCTTCAGGCAAACGACGATCATATCGAGCAACAGAGACACAAGTTGTTTATGAAGAATAAACAAACATGAATGGCGGTATTCTGTAATGTAGAATTTTTCAACGATTCTGGCTGTTTGTTTTCAACTATTGTCTGCCGTCACGGATATGGCCACTAGGTAATTTTACCTTGTAGGCTTAAACGTTTTCGTCAGGCCTGGACTCGAAAATGGACACGGGGACGGAGCTTATCCTGTTTCGACTGAATCAAACTCATGCTATGCGCAAACTGAAAGTGCTTTAAAGAGGATTGATTATATTTTTTTTCTATTTCAAAATAATGTCATTGTTAGCTTTATGCCACCTCTTGGTTGAGTTGTTCGCTACCAGGGACAAGTATAATTGTCAAATTATATATTGGCGTACTAAATATGAATGTGTGTGGTGTAAATCGATTAAATGTGGGTAACTGCTAAGTTATTTATGCACGTGCAAAATAAAGTTACAGTTGACTCTGCTGCGGGTGTGTCGTTCTTTACGATTGAACCTGATAGGTAAAAGTCGCAGTAGATAGTTGATTTTCAGCAAATCGTGTAGCCAGCTAAAAGGCATTGTTGAATATGTAAATTTTTATAGAGGAACATTTAATTCGTCGTTGTTATGCAAGAAAACAGTATGGCGGCTATCAATTAAGATGTCCGTATTCTTTCGGCTATTAAACAACAAGGTACCATGTACCTTATTTAAGGGCATATCTGAGTAAAAAATAGACACTGAAGCTAACTAGACTGGTGTCGCTGTTCGATGAATCACCTTTGCCATAACTAGCGTCCCCCTATGTATCTAGCAGACATGTAGGTTTGGCTTGATTTGTCGTGGAAAAGCAACGCTAAGGACGGCATATATGAGATCATGGTTTTACGATTAAAAATATAAGGAAGCTTCTCCATAGACTGTGCAGAAAAACACCTTTCTAGGCAGTAATTTTAGCAGGAATTGCAAATTTATGATTAACTGGTAGTGGAAATCCGTCTGACTTTAAGCAATACCTAATAGGGCCAAATGAAATGCTCGGGGGATAAAATCGAATATCATGTTTTCTCTAAATAACAAACGAGATGTTTCAATGTTTCCACGGTATTTATTCAATTTCGCAATTTAATATTTGGCAAAAAAATAAGACATTTGTTATAAGATAGATAAAAAAAATTGGATATTTAACTTAGAGTAACTAAACCTCATGGCAAGGAAAACAAAGCGAAAGCTATGTCATGGAACTGCTAAAAGAGATTAACAACGAGAACGACCCGATCAATAGAATAGGTCTTCTAAAATAGGATGGCAGAGAAACTGCAGCGGGAATACAGTCGTAGACGAACAGAGCTAGCTTTGATAAAATAAACAGGATCCTGCAATGAATTGTAATTCAATGAACCTACATTTAGAAGCTGAGTGAAGCGCAAGCTAAATACTGTTGAGTAACGCCCGGTGCATTATAAGACGAATGATTGCTTGAGTGTGAAATAAAACAGCAAGTATTCCTGAATTTTTATAAAAGTAATTTGGATCTTATAACATTGCGGATCTGCTAACTAAATTAATAGGCGTTATGCAGTGGAATCTGTGTCCCCAAAAAAAGGCCCTTGCATAGCTACGAGAATCATTCTCAACGCTTTACGGGAGTATTTGCACTGTATGAAACTTGGTTGCACCTCTTGTGTTTACAAACTGACCCTCTTTAGGACTAAACCAGGACTACTATCATAAGTGCAATGAGAACAGCGTTTTCTTAACAATCTATATCGCTACAGAGATAAGAAATCACGCTTAAAATGTTCTTTACCAATTAAAAAAACGACTAATAAATGACGGAAAATAATTTAAAATGGAAAGTAGTAGTAACGTTTCGCTATGCAAATGGTATCGTTCACAGAGTTAGATTGGTCCAGCTCAGAATGGTCTTCAAATGCCAGGAGCTAAGACAGAATATAGGTGAAAATCTTTTATATCCGTTTTTCAAAGGATCTGGAGTGCGGAACAATAGGTTGCTGCTCAAGAACCGCGTCAGTCCAGCCTTGTTTCCTAATAAAAAGCAAAAGAACGCGTACTCGTCTGTGTTGAGAGACCTGATGCTCTAATAGATACCGTCAAGCAAAGGAGTCCTCTAGAGTCGAATTTACAACAAGCTTATTTTCAATAATGCCATTTAAATGATCGATCTAAAGAGTCATCGCAAACGATATCGCTCTCAATGTGGAACCCTATACAACATATGTTAAAGCCTTGCACGGGCAAGCGCCTAAATTATGAGAAACGCCTCATCGTTTTCTTCTAGCAATGCTGGCAGTGGCTAAATTTGTTTCAAGAAGACTATGTGTGATAAACGTTTTGAGCTATCAATAGAAGGCTGTAGTTGCTGTCAGGTACTCAGCAACGTTTTCACTACATACGTTTCAAGATTAATTTAGAATGACGGAGATTGTCTAGGGTATACCCGTGATATACCAGCGTCGTTTATTTAATCATCGTAGATCTTAAACTGAAGAATTATAACTTGTTCTGTTCGCAGTCATTTAAAAACAAGTTACTTCAGGCCAGCGGCTATATTTTATTAAAAAATCTTTACATGCACACTATTGTGCGACGTGCGACTATCGCAAAACCAGAGTTTTTAATAAGCACTTCGGCCGCTTGGGGTTCGAGTCTAT